GATCAAACCTGGCATGCTGATGTGACCGTCTGGATGGAAAGGGCCCACCAGACCCCCACCTGAAGACACAAACAACTCGTGACTTTCAGCCATTTTCAAGAGATTTAAAAATATGACGAAACATTTCAGATTTATTTACAGCATTTACAGAATAAATAAACTAACTTGAGCATTTTATTCTCACAAGTGATTCAGGGTTTTGGTCTCTAGAGCAGCAATAAAGACATTTAAAAGTAGTCCATGTGAAGACAGATTACCCATAATGCTGTGCAGGTAGTCATGGCTGGACGGATCGATGACTCCTAAAAGGAGAAAATGAGGGAGTCACAGTTCTAAATAAATAATAATTTTATTTATATAGCACCAAGTCACAACATACGTTGTCTCAGGGCACTGTACATGAAAAAAAGAACAATCAAAAAACAAAAAAAGGGTTGAATGTTTAAAACAACAGCGAAGCATTGAACACATCTCAAACATCAGTCTATTTGGTTATATTCAAATATTCAGTTGCATTTTGTTGTTATTTACAAACTTATTTTATTGTTAAATCTTTATAAATCTGAAGTAAGTTGGCTTAAAATCATTCACCTCCATGCCCCGCCCCTTACCTGTGTGACTGTCGACTCCAGCTCCTCCTCCTCCTCCTCCGTTCAGCAGCTTCTGTCCATTTCCTGCACAAAAACAATGTTTAAATCGAAGTCTTAATTAACACATACATTTTAATACACTTTGTGCGAGGAATATTTGAAAACATAAAAATAGAAACATTTACCATTAGGCTCTGAGTCTACACCGTTAGGACCTGCAGGCAGAAAGTAAATATTTTACAGAAAATGTTTCATAAAAAAATTCAAGTGTTTGTCATCTTTAACCCTTTTACGGCAGACGAATAGTTGAAATTGAGGATTGTTTGTCTTTTATTAAAATTATTATTTTTGGTTTTTATTTATTAATTCAGATTTTTTTAAAGCTTGTGTTAAAAGTGAACGGAGCAGTCAGCTCCTGCTGGGTAAACTGGATGGAACTAAACTTAGTGACACAATATTTAAGATGTTTTACCTTTCAGTTCTGAGTGAGATGATGATGATGATGATGATGATGATGATGATGATGCTGATGCTGATGATGATGATGATGATGATGATGGGTCTTTGGCTCCTAAAAAACAGATATAAAATAAACAATAATGTTTCATCTTCTGATTTTTTTATTTAAAATAAGCTGTTGTTTACCTGCTGAATGAGTTTGATCTACAGAGACACCAAAGAGATCCACTGATCCAGACCCTGCAGAACCTACAGACCCTGCAGAACCTACAGACCCTGCAGAACCTACAGACCCTGCAGAACCCACAGACCCTGCAGAATCTACAGACCCTGCAGAATCTACAGATCCTGCAGAACCCACAGACCCTGCAGAATCTACAGATCCCGCTGAGACGGCAGAATCTAAAGAGACTCCGGACCCTGCAGAATCTGCAAAACTTGAAGTGTCTGCAGAACCTGAGAAAATGACATTAAAAAACTATTTTACTGGCATTAACTGAGACAGTATGGGTAAATTTGCCTAAAATAAAACCAAACATCCATAAAACATCAACAATATGTGAACAAAACAGAAAATATTAACAAAAAGCACCAACTGGACGTTTCCATACAACCAAACTTTCAAGACTGAGTAAAAAAAACAACAAAAAAATAACCAAACAAACTAATCAAATACAGTATCAACTAAACATGACGTCTCTGATTGGCTGTTTTACCTGCAGAAACTCCTGCTGCTCCATCATGTGGTCCTCCTTCTGCTGACTGACCGCTGGAAGCTGAGGAGAACCAGAGAATCKTCATCAGGATGGAGAAACACGTTTTATTTATTTCTCCAATATGTTTTATSACTTAAACACTCATTGAAGCAAAGTTTTAAAAAGTCTTTTCAAATCTGTGCGGACCTCATCAACCTTTTTCACTTCAAAAAGTGATAAAGAGCAGTTTTCAAAATAAAAGCATTTTACAACTGCTTGGTTTTTTTTTTTTAAGAAGTTGTTGGTCCTTTTTGTTGTTTGTGTTTTGGTCCCAAAGTTTCAATAAGTCTTGAGAAAAACCATTTAACTGTTGACATTTAAATTACAAACAGAGGCGGTGTACGGCAGAGCAATCATGGTTCTCCCGAACCAGAACCTTTTTGGAGTATAGTTTGAATATTCTCCACATGCACGTGTGAGTTTCCTCCAGGTACTCTGGTTTCCTCCCACAGACCAAAATCATGCACGTTAGGCTGCCTTCAGGGCAGGGTCT